CTGTCCATGGTTTCCCTGAGGTCCCCTGTTGTGTGTCAGAGCTCAGGTGGATTGTGGATTGTCTATTTTTGTGAAAATATATTCACCTTTAACTCTTTGAGATGGAGTTCATTTCTTTAGGGTAACATAATTGTGGGTTGCAAACAGCCCTCAGGAATAAGGGACAGACTTCCAGGGAAAATGTAACTAATTTGAAGTGACCTGGGGGCTCTCATCAGAAAGCTTTGGCAAAGCTTTCTTGTGTGTTTTGAGTAGGTAAACATCAAAACTTTGCCTCATTGCTAAAATAAATGTAACTGCAGACATGAGCTGTGGATATCTAGAGAAACAAATTTTCCTTTAATCAAGGAAAAGAGAAGGAAAGAGGTCACTGGGACTATCACTAAACCTGTAAATTTTTCTGGAAAATACAGACAAATGTGTGAATCACATTTAATTTCATTAAAATTACAATAAATTAGAAAACCAATAATTATTCAGTTGTCTTTTGTCCTCAGGTGCTTTTGACATTCTCAGAGTTTGTTATTTGGTCTTTTATGAAAACTTCACAAGTGCTAAGGATGTCATATGCTGTCTATTATCTTGAGTTATAACCCTTTGTATGTTTTTATTAGTAGATCTTTAAATCATATTTGGGTTTGCAGTTTGATTTTCATAGCTGATTTTAAATGTGTACTTAATTTAGTAAGTGAGTGGCTTAAAACTTTTTGGATCATATTTCAGAGTTATTTTTCTTGCAAGATGATTTTTATTGATTGTTAGCCATTTCATGTGTTGAGTGTCAATGACAATATAATATTTTCCTTAATTTAGTACTTCTTTTGCTGTTCAGACTGACAAATTGCATACATACTCTTTGTTATAAATGGTGAATAATATATATAACATGTGGTCATGTTTTATTTGTGGTGATGTCTTGGAATTCTGTTCATGTGGCAGAAAATCAGTATTATAGAATTGGTTAAATAATACTGAGTACATATAAGAGAAGAAGTGGAAAATGTGTAAAACCACATTGTTATTGAAATTAAGGGAATTATCAGAAAATCAGTTAACCAGCACTGAATGTGCATTAATATAATCAATTTAATTTGGATCAGGTGTGTGTATTTTGAACCACTCTGTTGGTTATCTGCACTCACTGAGCTTGATTGGGTTCACATCCTGGAGCAGCCTTGGAGAATGTGGATGAAATTGTTTTTATATGAAATTAGAGTGCCAAATGCACCAGTGTGTGCTCAGCCTACATTGGGTACTCAGGATCTTTGAAAAAGCAAATTGTGCTTTGCCTCTGCATGTGAGGGCAGGTTGTTAGGTATCTTGGACAGCATCTGTAGGTAGGAATATGAAGGTGTTTGAATTGACTGGTTTTGATATTCATTTTGTTTTTGGAGCTGTGTCAGTCTCTTCTGCCAAGTATGTATAGATTGGAAGTAAGGAATTTTCCCCTTCCAAATCAGTTCTCCAAGCTCTAAGGAAACCTGTTCTTGAACTGGGCTGATCTAAAGAAAATGCTCTTTGTTATCAACAAAATAGTTTGTGATTAGAAGTTTGTTTCCCTGTTGAGTATTTACTTCCTTGTAAACTTCACCACTAGCTCTTCAAATTTACTGTAAATATGCTCTTCAAATTTAATATAAATTCTTTAATACAATAAGAAAACTTAAGTTTATAGTAATGAAATTTTTACATTCTGAAAGTTTATTTTTTTGGAGATATTTTCTGAGTGTTAAGGATGTCATACACTGTCTGTAGCTGAGTTATAATGACTTGTGTGCTGTTTTAAAGGGAGAGATCTCTACAGAAATAGTTATCTATTTTGTCAGTCAATGATACTTCTAGTCTCCAAAATCCTTGGATGCAAATTATACTCAGCCTTCGTTATTTCTGCTCTTTCTCATCTTCATCTATTAACAGTATATTTTAGAAATATTAAGTATGGATGTTACTTACACCATAAATATAGAATACAGAAGATGAAAAGAAATCAGGCATCGTTTGTGTGTGTTCTTTATTTTCTTGTTTTTCCTTCTTGTGCCTGTTTTGTTTGCTGTCATTTCAAAGTGGCTCTTCCAGACCATGGGTAGGAGTACCCTAGGCAGGTGAAGGGAATGCTTCTCCCCCTCTACTCTGCTCCTGTGATACCCCACCTGGAGTGCTGCATCTAGCTCTTGGGGCCCCCAAAATAAGGATGTGGATCTGTTGGAGTGGGTCCATAGAAGGCCATGAAAATGATCAAAAGTCTGGACTGCCTCTCCTGTGCAAACAGACTGGGAAAAGAAGGCTCTGGAGAGATCTTATAACACCTTCGGGTACCTGCTAGCACAAGGATGAATGGCTTTAAAGCGAAAGGGGATAGGTTTGGGTTAGGAATTTTTCACTGCGAGACTGATGAGGCACTGGAACAAGTCATCCAGCAAAGCTATGCATGCCCTGTTCCTGGAAGTGTTCAAGGCCAGGTTGAGTGGGTGTTTGAGCAACTGGCTCTAGTGAAAGGTGTCCCTGCCTGTGGTAGTGGGTAGCATGGTCTTTAAGGTCCTTCCACCTGAAACCAGTCCATGATTCTGTGTTTCTAAGGTGTGGTCTTGGAGAAAATTAACTCTTCTGTGGTCATACTCAGATCAGCAGTGATGTAAGCACAGAAGTGGCAGGGATGGGTGGGAAGAAAAATCATGCTCTGCTGCCTCCCGGTGACCAGTTGTATCAGCGTGGGTATCCCATACACAGCTGTCTGTGTCCTTCTGAGACAGCTGGCACTGGGCTGTGACAAATAGAGTAAAGGAGCAGTGCATCAGTGTGCTGGGAGGCAAGAAGTGTTTCTGTGGCTGTGACCCACTGGTCTGTCCTTAGTGCATTTTCAGAGCTGGCTCTGTGGGCTTGTTGCAGTAGAGATGGCCACGACACGCAGAGTATCACCAGAATTATCAGAAGGCTTCAAGCTCCTGCCCATACAGAGTAACACCATGCCACTTCAGAAGGCTGCACAGGTCTGCCCTTCCTGTTCTTTAGCCCAACCTTTTACACCCTCATTGTTCATGCATTGCATTCTTTCTTCTAGATAGTGAGTGTACTTGAGCAATGTGTAAAGCATCACAGCTCTTCTGAGTAGAGAGTACTGTTGACTCTTGGCTTATTTTCTCATGTAGTTTGGTCCCCAGTTTGACTACAGCAGGAAAATTTCACAGTGTATGCAGTTTTAGGTCCATTCTCTATGAAGTTTTTCTTTGTCATATTATGTGCTGTCATTTGATACTGCAGTTTTATAGTCTTCCTTTCCTACCCTGCCCCTACTGTGGTTTTCATATCTGTCAAAGTGGCTTTATGGCTATTTGCTATATGGCTATTTAACTTTTTCACAACTCTAGTTCAGTATGGTTTATATTTTCTTCCAGATTTTTACATTACTCTTTCAGGTCATTAATCTATACTGATTGTGCCCAGGGAGATTGTGGAGAATCAGACCTTGATGGTCTCCTGGAATTTTCTTTAGCAGATTCCAAGGTCATGAGGCTCAATGCATTGTTTGAATATTCATCCAGCAGGATATGCAGTGACTGAACTCAGCTGAGCACTGCTGCTTGCAATGATCAGTCTTTGTTTATTTAACCCAGGCTGTACTTTAAGGAGGTTTTAGTTACAGGCATATTTGGAGTCCTATATAGATCACAGTGTCACCAATGTCCTTGTATTATCTCTGAGAATTTTTATTGTTGAGAGGGAGGCTCTATTCTTTTCACATTGATTATATATAATTAATGAGTTATTCTAATGGCTTTTAGATCTTATTGTTTGTAACTTCAAAGAAGTTACAAGGTCAACATTTCAGATAAAAAGTGAGGTTGTATCTTATAGCTGAGGGAGTAAGACGCCTGCATTACCAGTTCCAGCGGAATTTAAGTTCAGCTAAGAACATCTGTAGTTCTTTTGGTTTCAGGAGGACCTCTCTCCCAAATGTGCTGAGCTAAAAGCTCTTTTCCAGATTTTGCCATTAGGCAGGTCCAGAACTTGCCAGTTCACAAACTTTGCTAAACTGTAGACAAGTGATTCTCATAACATACTGGGCAGTTTCCCTGTGGCTGTTTCAATCCTTGGGACAGAAAGGAAAATGGCAAAAGTCACATGTGCTTCCATTTAAATTTCTTCAGGATGACAGGAATAGTTATGAAAGCTAGTTCATGAATATTCACAGGGAAGGG